AAGACCTCCAGGATCTTCGACAACTACAAGGCGGCCTTCTTCTGGGCCCACAAACACTACGAGAGGCAGATCAATCTGGTGTATGCAGCGCTGTACCAGCGTATGACCACCAGATCGGACCCCCTCCTGGTGCCGGGCTGTCCCTGCAAGGGCTGCTCCAAGCAGGAGGTACCCGGCCATCCCAAGGCCGGCCAAAGGCAGATGATGAAGATCAAGCTGTCGGAGGGTGCAGATCTACCGGAACCCTGCATCCTCTGCGGCTTGCAAGTGCCGCAAATGGATAAGGAGGTCAGACTGAAGAAGCCGCCGCGTCCGATCATCAACCACGAGGTCAATCTGCCCAGATGCCAGCAGTGCAACTCTCCCTTCCTGATCTGCGAGTGCAACATCGATCAGTTGACCGGCGAGCAGTTCGGCGAATGTGGCCAGGACTCCTACAAGGTGAAGTGGTATCGTCTGCAGGAGCCAATGGCCATTTCCCAACCCGTTTCCCGCCCGGCTGGCGAAGAGGAGCAAGATACTAGCTATGATGAGGCTTTGGAGCCGCCGGAGGACTGGGACAATCATCATTGTCCCATCGACTGCCAGCACGACTCCTGCAGCGAGTCCTCCAATGTTTGCCACAGCACTTCTTCCTCTGGATCGTCAGGCAGTGACTTTGCCACCTGCTCCGATGGCGGCGAAAAAGACGAGGATGTTGTGGCCAAGCTGGAGGATTACCTCAACAAACTGTGGGCCGAGGAGGTGGCTCAGAAGAAGAATCCGTCGTATGTGCCGCGAACTGTCATGCCTCCTGGTCCGAAGTGTCTGAAGTGCAGCGACTAATCTCGCAGCTATTTGTCCGTCAAAACTTTAGCTATATAAATTATTGAGTGAATTAATTATTATACGGTAGAGGTATATCTTTAGCCTTCAAGATCTCAAAGATCTCTAATGGCCAGACACTAGACCGAACGTGTTTTGCCACCTCCGGTAGTGAGTTTGGGCCACCCACTCCCACACCTGGGGAATCGATCGCCCACACGGGAGCCGGCGCTTATCACGCGCCCACAGATCGCGTCTTGACAATGGCCACTTAAAATGCCATTGCCGGTTGTAATCGCCTCTAAATTGCTGGCACCTCGCACCTGGCTTATTCGCGGCTGGAGGACGGAATGGGACGCGGCATTCGATGGGATGCAGCTACTGTTGTCATCGTCGGCTGCTCCGCCCAGCAGCGCCCAGGAGCTTCCACATAAATCGCTGCCCTTATCTAGGCACTTGCATCTCGCGCCGGAGCAGAGCCACCACAGGAACGGGTGGTGGTGCGGATCCGCGGACTCGCGGATTCGGGCCTGTTCACGCTCCTCGCCGCTTATCAATCTCAGCTCATCTGCACGCAGAACAGAACAGAACGGAACGGGCCAGAACCGAACTGAGCCAAGTCGCGCTGAACAGGCAGAAAGAACATATTCTGCGAAAAATAATTCCGCAACTTGTCACATTTTGTAGGATTCAAAGTCGCAGAGACAGGCACTAAACTGCAGACCCCTCTGCGCCAGGGATTCTGGGATGGGCCTGCTATGGAAGGAGTCCTTGGCTGGCCTGGGATTGAACTATTTCGACAGGGTAGTCGTAGATAGAGGGGTATGCTCGAATATTAACTGTAAATGTGCCTCCAGTTACTTACAAATCATTTTCTTCATTATATATTGTGACTAGAAAAACAGCATAGTTTGCTTACTCAATTAAAAAAGAAGGTGTTTAAGTGCAAGATTTCCTCTAGTCGAACTATCTTAATAGATAGTGTAATCCCTATTTTTGGCTGGGCCTAGACTTCAGCCCGTCTCTCCGAATGTCTTCGCATCTGCCTCTTGCTGTGGCATGTTAAACTGGAGTCGCATTTGCATATGGATTTATTTTTATGTCCACTGCCTTCGGATGGCTCGTGCACTATTTATGTGTGACGATCAAATCGCTTGGGGGAGAGATCTGTGGTTGAATCGATCGGTTCTTGCCCAAGAATTGTGCCATTAAATGTTTGGAAATATTGGAATATATCCAGATAATGCCGTCTTGCCAAATTCCTAATTATGATATGCTCACATTGAGTTTCTCTATTAGCCCAGATTTGATGTGGCTCCCCACTCCAAAATTTTGTGGTTCGGTTTGTGTGTGTGGTAAACAAAGCTCTCACACTCAATTGAGTGCCACTTTTCGGTTTTTGATGGAACTTGCAGGCGGTTCAAGAGACGCACGAAACCATTGAACTTTTCAATAGCCATCAAATTTGCGTCTAATGCGAACTGAGCTCGGAAAATTCCCCGCCATCGTCTTTAAATTTGTTATACTTCTGCATTCAAGGGGCACTGCAGCCACTCGAGGTTCACTTTGATTGCTCGAATCATTTACACTCGGAAAATACAGTGCTAACATCTATTTACACTTGATATATGCTTAGTTAAAATACACTATGTTTCCATATTCTAGATATAAAGTTGTGTTTTTAGGCAGAAAAAGCTAGGCAACCATTAGAAGCTGAGCAAATTTCTCTGGGTGTATGTGCGGCATCGATCTGCTTCATTGTTGTGGGCCTGAAGCTTAATGGTCTTTTTATAGCTGCACTTTTTCAACTTCAATTAATGAAGTGTCGAGTTGTTAACACCAAAACACACGCCCTGCTCCCAGTGGTGCAGCCTACTCCTCCCGATCCCCAATCCCCAACGACCAACGCCCAGCGCCCAATCCCCATGAACCTCTATTTCCAAACATTTCGCCCAGCCGCGGGATGGGAACAAACTCCGCCGCTGCTGCAGGTGGGGCAGCCGAAAATGTAAACAAACAAATTAAAACGAGCATCGACAGCAGCTGCAGACTTTGCCGCAGGTGAGAAAACGGGCACACGGAGCTGGGAATTGGGCAGTGGGCATTGGGAAAGCGGGGGTCCAAGGGAAAATGCATTTTCACGGCAGCGGCAAAGGCAAACAATCCGGACGGCAGCCGCCGATGCGGCCAGAAGCTCTTTAATCCCAAAAACTTTGCTGGCACTTAGCGGTTTACGAGGCTGCCGAGCAGGCCCTCAAAGTATTTAGATATCAAAGTGGGAACGAAGATGTGGAGCCAACCGTAAAGCCTTCCATCCGCTGCATTTTTGGCGACACTTTGTCCAGATTGAGTTGTTAAAACTTGATGTGCGATTAAAAGTGATGCTGTGACGCTAATTTTACAGTTGGGGAAAGAGATAAACCTACTTATTTGCTAGATAGATGGACAGTAAAATGCAATCTACAATCTACTTGACAATTGTGTGCTTTTTCCCAGCCCAGCACAACCCACTCCACCTCAGCTCCACCTGAACTCCACTTCAACTCCACCCCAACTCCTTATTTATTGATCAGTTAGTACACTTCTCACATCATCCCATTGTGGTCGAGTTTGCTCCGCCGCTTCACGGTGTCCAGAAATCCGGAATCAGTGTGGGAAAACAGCTGGAGCGTCAACTGAAGCGCCGCTTCCACCTGAAACTCCAAAATAAATCTGGAGAAGGCCGCCGCCAACGCCAACGCATCCCGGCAGTTGGAGTCAGTGAGAAAAATGTTAATGATAAACCTGTTTGTCAATTAAACAAAAATATTGTAATAATTGATAACAGAATGGGCAAACACGAACTGCACTGAGCGGGAGAGAGATGATGAGAACTTCCCAGAACCGAACTGGATGTTGGGGCAATCGGGGAGGGTGGGGGAGGGGGGAGTGGAGATTGGGGCAGGGGCAGCAACAAGGGACAACCTGTCAACCCAAAAGGGCCCAAAGGCTGGACGGGCTCGCTGTGCTTGAGTTTGGTTTCATTATCGCCTCGCCTTCAACTTCAATTTTAGCCTGGCCCAGGCGCAGTTCGAATTGTGCACTGCGAGAAACTACACATAGTTGGCAATGCAATGCTGTTTTCAAGGCTTTCGAAACATTTACAAAACCGCCATACTTTTTCCCCAGTGCACTGGCATTGGCATCTCTCGGCCAGTTGGCTTCCCTGGCTTATTGTTTAGTGAAGCATTTAACTTTTAAATATGGTTGTGTGTGGCAAGAGGAAAAGTGTTTTGTGTGTGTGTGTGTGATACCGTTTTGAAAGACATTCCGAGCTGGGGCACAGAATGGAGGGGGCAATGGGGAGCATCTTGGGCACTTCACTCGCCGCGCTGTGAAATATTTCCCATGACAATTCTGTTTGCTTTTCGTGCATTGTGTGCTCGGTTGGCACCTCACCTGGACCTGGAGTGGGAACTCCTCCTCCGCCCAACTTATCCCACACTTCTGGACCGCCCTGCCTTGTCTCGTCGCCCACTCATCCCGTCATGCCGTCATCCCGTCATACCGCCAGGGTATGCCCGGACGCAGGTTCCCACTCCATATGCAGCTCCTCATCTGGCATGGCCCACAATGTGGGACAAGTTTGCTCTATTTGCTTTATCTATGCCCATCGCCGGTGACGGCTGTCTCTGCTTTTTCCCAGGCAGAAGGCTCCTCTCGAGAGGAGCCTCCGCCATCGGAGCCCCATATGGCGGCATTAGCTGATGGATATTTCAACAGGCCGCCCGGCACGGGTTGGCACTCCAGGCATCCTGACATCCTTCGAGCGACTTGCTGAAATAACAAAGCATTTTGAGCGAATTATGCCGGCATTTTTGTGACGCAGCTCGAATGTTGGGTGCTCTGAACTCAAAGATATTAAAGTATAGGATAAAATACCACATATTTCTTTGGTTCTATCTGGTGCACATTTTGTAGACAATTTTGCAAGCATTTCCAAAGCGGTGCATACCACATATCAACTTCAAGCAACCCCAACTATTTGTTAGGGTATAACCTATTAAGCTTCCTTCGTGCCGGAGCTGTCGGCGAGGTCAATGAAGTGCCGCCGAAATTCCGCGGAATTAAAGCAGCAAGAACCCGCCGAAAAAGCCCCAAGATGATGGAGGAACGCACTCCCAACCCAACTAAACGGAACGAGGAACCACACCGAACGAGGGCAATTTGCGATCGCTGGCAATTATAATTGGGCGGCGCACAGGGACTCAGAGGAAGGTGGTGGATCGATTGGGGCACTGGTATTCGCTCCACCAGTCGACGAACGCCGTGATGTCGGATCTCTGGCGGATCTTGTGCCCCCCTGGAGCCTGTTGCACCAGGGAGCAGAGGGCGCAGTAGGGTTGCGAGGCCTGGCGCAGCTTGTAGATGGCATGCCACCAGAAGTAGCGCCTGTACTCCTCCGGGTTACTTGCAAGGTGCTTGAGGTGAACGATCAAGTCCTTCGGGGTGGCGAAGTCCTTGCTGCTTATGTACGAGTGGCTGGGCACCAGATTTGTAAGATTTGCTCCTCCGATCAGGACGGGCACCAGGAGTTTGTCCATGGCCCTGGACATTTGCGGTGGCACGTAGTCCGGGCAGGCGGTCGGCTCGAAGATCAGCATGAAGTGGTAGTGACTGCAACTAAAAGGCGCGAAAAATAACAATCTTATTGTGGAACAAAGCCTTTGCCCAACTTACTCATCGGTGCCCAGACAGTTGTCATGGGCGTCGAGGTCGGCGTACTTGCGCAGCTGCTCCAAGTAGAGGCTCTCGGGAAGGGTTTCCTCATCCACCTCGTAGACCAGGTACACAGCCAGTCGCGACTTTTTGCTTAGTTCGCTATCCAGACGAAGAACCGTGGATGCTGGCATGTCATCTGCGAAACTCTTGCTGGGTGGGCGGAACGACTTGAGCCTCCTGGCCAGATTCGTTTGGGAGAAGTAGTAATCCGTCCAGATAATCTGGGAGTCCAGCCGGTAGGTCATGGTCAAATTAAAGGGGGGCAACACGAAGCCAGTCAATGGATTCTGCGACGAGCTCAGCGGCTTCTTGGCGGCATAAACTACATAGAACTGGGGACTGTGCTTGATTCGGTCCAAACCGTCTAAGGAGTAGGGATGGTCAGCACTGATGACCACTGCATCAAATGCCTTGTCATTGTAACTCCTACTGCTAGTGACCAGGCAGCCGCACTGCATGCGCGCAGGTGCATCCACACGGTTGGGCTCATTCCACAGAAGAATCATCTTTAGATTATTCTTCTCTTGCTTAGTTTGAACACGATATAGGGGAATCGTGGCGAACAGCAAGCAAACGGTTAGCACACCCACCATGATCTTGAGTGCTTTCTGGCATTGATGGGGCGAGTCCAGCTCCCGCTGGAGATTCCTCATCGAGACCGGGGATCTCCGTGGAGGAGGCAGCCTCACGACATACGCGGAGTCAACGTCATCCGTCTTCCTGCGACTCGCATCCTTGGCATCTTCGTCGTCCATGAGGAGTCGGCTTGGCAGAAACTTCGGTATGTCCTCCATGTCATCGGTTTGCTGTCGCTGTTGCTGCAGCAGATCGGGATTCCTCCGGAAGCTGAGGATCTTGCCCAGCGGCAGTGGACGGTGCTTGTCTATCGGCATTGCCTCTGTGCAAAACGAACATATAATTTGGCCAAATTGTGTTCCTCAATGAATTGCCAAAACAATAAATTCTGGGATTCAACAATTCATAGATAAATGTGCTCAGATGGCTGAGTTGTTAAATATAATAGAATGGCAGAGCTAAGTTTCTGTCTATACATTTTGAGTTTCATTTCAAGGAGTAATGTTCTGGATGGCCGCCTGTTCAATTATCACATTCATATTGAATTTATGGAGTACAAGGCAAATTGCCAGCATCAAAACGTCGCTGGGAATTGATGGCCTCGATCGGGCAACTATGGAAAAACCCTTTCCAATCAATCCGGCGTTTCACCCCCATCCACCTGCCCACTTTTGCATTTCCGATTTGGCACTTTCATCAGACTGCCCGCGCTTCCCTTTTCGCCTTTTTGCCATTTGCCATTCGAGCAGGAACAGGAACAAAGTAATCAATCATTTTGCCAAACCATCAGAAACATGACAATCTGCCAGAAAATTTGCGTAACGTTTCTCGATTCACCGTTGGCGGGGTAGGGAATGTAGTGGAGGATGATTCCATCGATGATATATCACTGCAATTTCGAATATTCATTTCTCCGCTGTTGTTTTTCGACGCCAGCTCCTCCTCATCATCCTGGCCAGCCCAGTGCCGTGCTCATTTCAAATGCGTTCCGCATCCGCGACGAGGATGTGGAGTGTGGAGTGGAGTGGGTGGTGGCTGGGGCGGATTGGAGTGGAGTGGACAGTGGAAACGCCACTTGGCGGACGTGCCAGGCGCTCCAATGCTCGGTCCTCGGATGGATGATGCCGGTGTCATTGTCATTGTCGCCTCCCCCATTCTCCTCCTACTTCACGCACGGTGTCTCAATTATTGAAGAGATGCAGTGTGAAAGCGAAAAGTGAATATGTGCACTTGGAAAAAGTTCTGTGACCTTTTCAGTTTCTAAACAAATTTTGAAAGAAGTGTGACAATTACTGGCATATAGCTATAAACTTTGGCTCGGTTTCTTTGCTGGGAAAACGCTAGATGTCTAAAGAATTCGTGAATTTGCATAACACAAGTGTTATTCTTTCGGTGTAGAATGGCGGCAGGAGTTGGCAATCTGCGCATTGACAACCATTTAAATGTTACGCATTCACGGTAACTTCCACAACGTGACTTGCTGAGGCGAAACATTTTTAAAGTGATTCGCAGTGAGGAGACCATGTAAATTGCCTGGATCCAGTGAGTTATGAAAGTGAAATGGATTTGTGATTGCCGGCCAGACGAGCAGCATGCGAAAAGGCGAACGCATTAGAAGAAGCCTGGCCCAAACGCAGCCGCGGCGAACCCAAAACATATATAAATTTTAATTATTCCCGCGAATCGGGGGCCAAGAAAAACGAATGCATTCTGAGATCCCAATACCAAATACCACCGATCCTGTGCCAAGTCGGCGAATGGCGAATGGAATTGAAATTCCATTGTGAGTATTTTTGGGGGCGTTGCCGGCGCGTCGAGAAAAAATGCAATAAATATGCATATGAGAGAGCTCACCTCCGTGGAGTTGCCTCCAAAAGGAGTCCCGAGGAGTCGAGTTATGGCGATTTGAATAATTTGGTTCCCACACTTTCGAAGATCTCTCTCAACTGGCAGTCCAGCCAGATCAGCCGGCCCAGCCGTTTTTAATTAAAGTTATTAATACGGCTCCTCCGACTAGGTGATTTACCTAACCACAAGGCCTCCGTCTGCCCATTCCATGCTCCACACCGTTGACTTCTGACTTCTGACTCATGAGGCGGCTACTTATCGGAACTGGAACTGTAAGGTGTCCTTAAGCCCCGAACTCGATCGGCAATTAAATGCCGCACACATTGTTGGCAACTGCTTAATTATCCATTCGATCCCATTCAATCCCATTCGATTCGATTCGAAAAGGAGCCGCCTTTAACTCGATTGCCTTGTCCATCGGACCTTTGGTCTTAGGTCTTAAGGAAAGGAGCCAACGAATTAACATGTAATTATCTCAGCTTGGGCCGCTGGCCAAAGGAAACGCATCGAATCGCCGGCGACACCCGGACCACAAACAAGCCTGGCTAATAGTGTTGGCAACCTGGCTATCGTCAACGAAACTAAGCCAGGTCTACGAAGAAATGGCCAGGTAAAAGTAGCCAAATAAAGCAGCGGGCTTCCGACAACTGCAAACAGGAATCTCTTAAGACAAAGTCATCTTGTGTAATTTGTTTTAAGGTTAGCCGTAATCAGGAGCATCACTGGTGGCTGCAGCCTAGACCCCAGAAAAGATACAGATACAAACCAGATCGAGGCTGAGGTAGCAGCTGCCGCAGGTTGCGTGCGTGCCGCTTCTTCCTCCGCCCCTCTTGATTCCTAATACCCGCTCCCGGGGGCGTGGCCCTTCTTAGGCGGATTCCCAAATTGATCTCGGACCTGGTTGGACCCTTCAGCCGACCACCCGCACTAATCAGACGAAGGCAAGGGGCAGTGGCGCTAAAGTTGTCAGTCGCCTTGTCCGCAGGCGACGATCCTCTACACCCTAATTAGGTGTTATCTACGACTTGGGTTTTCCTGCTCCTTTAATGTGGCCGACAGGGTGAGAAGGTTCCGTGGAGTGTTTAAATGCGGACCTCCGAGCACTTTCACTTCACACAAGCGGCTAGGCGCCAGCCAAATTCCACAAATTAAAGGCAGCATTTCTTGTACGTATTACTTTAAGTTTCATAAACCACCTGCATAAATAAGTTGTTAGCTTGCAGACGAGCATGACGCAATCTGTGGACTGACTCATTCTCCCACGCATTTGGCGCCACTTGCCACGCGGATGAGTGTAATCCATCACTGACGCACTTGTCCACTCGCTGTACTTATCACTGCCCGGTACTCGGTAGTCGGTAGTGTACAGCGCTCATTGTCCGAGTTCCACTTCATGGCGACTGTTTTGCGCAATTGATGGCAATCAAGGGCAGGGCAATTGCCGCGATCAGCGCTGGCGAAGACTCCTCCATTCCGTCTCATCACGGGATGACACATCCGGAAGCGGGCAATCAGCGAACCGGTGGAAAGCGGATTCCGCTGATTTGAGCGGGGTCACTAATTGTGACCCACTCTCGCCGTTCATCTATGAATGCAACTGCAAGTGCTGATCATAAATTGGGTAAACTGGGACACGAATCTTTGAAATTTTCCCGACGCGGAATCGTCCAGAGTTCAGAGTTGTGTTAAAGTTCTTTGATGAAGAGTGAAACCCATTGTCATCAGCCATGACTGAAATAGTTAGTGTAGCCTTTACATTTTATAGAAAACGCTTAAACTATTTATTTAACAGGCTTGCATATACAATACTTCTTGATCATTGGGTCTTTTGTGCACTTGCTGTACTTCTCGCAGGACTCCAATCGACTCAGCTCGTCCGCATTCATAGCCAAGGTTTCCTTTTCCGTGTTCCACTGTACAGTGGCCTCGAAATGCGCCGAACTCGGATTAGTGTCGAAAGTGATTTGGTAGGTGTGCAGCTGCTCGTCCTCCAGCGAGTCATCGGTAAGTGCGAGTCTGCGATCCATGTAGAGGACCTTCTTTAAAGTATAACTCTGGCAAAGCTTCGTAAGATTTCTATACCGCAAATGCTCGTTCATATGACGCACCACCTCGCGGGCCACTTTCTTAATGAGAATTTGGTTGGTCACCGTTTCGGTGGGTTCGCAGGAACACCACTTTTCACGGATTCCCGCATGGGAACAATTCCTGTCAAGCGGAAGTTGGAAGAACAGGGATTGGCACAGTTTACACTGTGATGCCTGGAGCTTTGGCCGGAAATCCGCCATAGAAGTGGCATTTAGCTGGAGCAGATGGTGCAGGGTCATGTAAAGGTCGAAGCTTGAGGACAGCCGATTCTGGTTGACCTTTAGGCTTGCCACATACTGGGGGTATCTCTTCCTGAACCAGGATGGCACATGCATGAACATTACGGGCAGACGTTCTTCCAGATAACCCGATTTTGAACGCTGTCGCGTTACACCGTTTCTATAGCCATGATTACTTAGCAGCATTACTATTGAACTATTGAAAAAGCCAAGTTTCTCGTACAACAAGAGGGAGTCCAAGAGCACCTGATCCAAGGCAGTGGCTCCTAGGAAATCCTGGTGGGTGAAACTACTGCTCCGAAAGATTCCAAAAACGGGTGCTGCGTTCTGAAAGCGTTGCATAAACTGCCTGGCAAAGTCAAACAGGTATTTGAAACCCAACCTGCGTCCAAGGCAGAAGGCATTGCCAAATTCGCGCCTGGTCTTTAAAATACTTTCCAAAGCCACAACAAAGTTTCTAAGGTAGTAATCCACTGGCTGCTTCTTGAAACCTGGATTGCGGTTGTTAAATGTGCTGATCTTGCCGCCGTCTTCTCCGAAAGCTGTCATGTAGCCGTTCTTCTTAAACAGCTGCCAAATGTACTTCAGTTTGTCAATAAATCCGCCGCGCCTGAGTTGACCATTCAATTGAGCTTTTTCCTCGGCATTTCCAGTGAGCAAAGCCAAAAGATTGGGCAGGGCATTTTCACCGACCTTATTGTATCCCTGCATTTCAAACCATCCCGATCCCTGCAAGAATTTATGCACCTTGGGCATAGAGCGTCTCAGGTTCATGCGGGATGTGGAGTCTATGCCCAGGATGATCACATTCGGCTTGGACTCCAGATCTGGGGGAGGATCCTCTGGTTTCTTCAGGCGATCCTGCACAAACAGAAAGGCGTCCTTTTGGAGAAGTTTCAATTGAGCTTTTCCATTTACGGCGTGGCATTGGGTAAGGATGAAGTCTATTGTCTTGGGTACCAGAAACGATTGACTTATGGGTTGAGGACTGGAAAGACTGCAAGGGAAAAGTTACAGCTAAAGCTAATATGTATGTGTATAGCTTTTAGTGAAACCTACCTAAAATCTTTATCCGGAAATGAAGATTTCTTTTTGCGGCCTATCACCTGATATTTGCACTTGAGTGTTGCATTACCGAACTTTTTTAAAAGCTGCTCAGCGGCGTTATCATCGATTTTGATCCTGTATTGTCGCAGATCCGCATCGAACTCACTTATTAGCAAATCTCTATCAGTGCTACACTGCCTAAATTGTTTTCGCTTAAAGAATTTCATAATGTCTGCGGAAAAAGGATCCATTTGAGGCATTTTGCACGACGCACTGTTTACGTAAAACATTCTGTTCTGCGCAGTTTTTTCGCCATTCGAATAGTGCGAGTGCAGACTCAATTTGGCTGCGCATAATAAAAACTGAATACTACACAGTAGGAAGACATATCTGCCCAGACTCATTGTGCCAACTGAATTGTCATTAGACAAGCTTTTATGGGAATATATTTCCTAGTTGCGAAATTCGATGCGCTTCTTTTGAGTTTGCTATGGTTCAGGTAAGACATGGAACTAGTTTTTAGAGTTGTGCAACTCTTAAGCCAAGTGCTCTGTTTGGTATTCATTCTGGTTGCCATTTCGCTGTATTCCGCACTTCTCAAATTCATATTTATGCGAGTTTGAGAGACTGCACAAGCACACAAATCAAGCCGACTACGAGTATCTGGAACTGCGGGCGATATCTTCCTTTCCGTGTTTACGGCGTTATGGCGTGAGACACTGAGACATGGGCAATTATGTAAATATGCGGCGGCGCCTGTTCGCGACGAAGGACTAAGGACGAAGGACACAATGGGACAACCGCAAATTATTGCCGGCCATTTGGCGAATGAATGCGTGACAGAACACAGAACACAGGGCACAGGGAACACTCCTCGAATGGAAACGGGGGGTATTCGCAGGAGACACTCGCGCACAAGGACAATGGCGGGCGCGGCGGGAGTGGCAGCGAGGTCAAAGGTCAGCCGCGCTAATGTTGTGCTAATTGCTAATTGCGATTGGAACGCGGTGGAAAGCAGCAAACGGCACAAAGGAGCAGCTCAGGCGGCGCTATGGCCTAATTGAGGTGTCCTTGCTGCGATGATTTACTGCCAGGGGATTGGGAAGGAGGTAGCTGCAGCTACACTGGAAACACACACTAAGCGGATTTTGCATTTCTTGCATACAGAAGTAGAACAAGTTCTAGATGTAAGAACTGCTCTTACGCAACATTTTCTTTCTCCGAGTGCAGTCCTAGCCTTTAGCCTTTCATTGCCATCGAAAGCGACGGCCAGCAGCATCCGAGTGGACCACCCAGAGAGCCCAGCAGCAAAATGCTGTTTTTTCGCATCCTGGCAGGAGGTCCTTGGCCCCCAGAAAGCCATCTCCTCCGCTGGCCTGGCTGCTTTGTTGGGTAACTCGATCCGGCGCACGCGTGGCCAGCCGAAGTCGCAAGACCTCAGGAGCAGCAGGATCAGAAGAGGGCCAAGTGGATCACTCTCTGATCTTTTCGGCAGTCGCCAGCAGTTTGAGTTGTGTCAGATGAAAGGGGAGCGGTTTTTGGGGACCCCGAGGGCCAAGACGTAGCCAGGTGAGGCCAGGTGTCAAACGTGTAACTGGAGACGGTGGCCACCGCCTGCGGATCAGGATCGGGTCATCTTTAGTTTTGACATATGCAAAGTGGACCACCAAATCGACTCCATCGACCGTCTGCTGTTTTTGGGTCAGTTTTTCGTCATACTCTCTTGCGTCGATCGGGTATAACGATTTAATGAAGGGTTGTGACCATTCTAACTACTTCACAAACTAACTGCAGATTATTGTGGGAAAATAGCAATAGGCAAATAATAGGAAAATATTAATAGTAATTATAGAACATATCAATAATATGTTAATTATTTATTTTATATCTAAAGACTGCAGTTTAATTGAACGAAAGCATCTGCAAAAGTCACTGCTTTATTGGTGATCCTTGTCATCATTTCCCTGCCTATGCAGTGCACTTTTTTGGGCATTGAAAATTTGTCCCTTGCTGTTTTTTTTGGCTGTCGGCCACCCGAGTTGATTGTAATTTTGGCAATGACCCTGCAGCAGCCGACAATTGTGCCAACCTGCCAAAGCGGCAGCAAAAGCATGAGCACAAGCAGAAAGCACAAGCAGAATGCAGAAAGCAGAAAGCAAACAGCAGAAAGCAAAAGCAGCTGGAAGCAGCAGACTGGAAGCAGCTGCCTCGACTTTCGGCTTGGACATTAACGTTAACAGCGACCTTAACGTCGCCCACTGGCCAAAATTGACGAAGCGTTAAAACGCACACGTTGACAGGTATTTTTTGTGGACTTTTTTATGGGCTAACTGAGGCAGCGGCAGTTGCAGTCTGCAGTTTGCAGTTGCATTTGCTATATTGCCTTCGCGCTGCCGTTGCTTAATGTGCGATTTCTATCTGTAAATATAAATTGTAATTATTGCATTGTTGCGTCGGAGTTGCGGCAAGTTCTTATCAGCGGCAGCCATCGGCAGTCGGCTGACAAAGGCGAAAAATTAACAAAAAATTGCAAATGAGTGTCGAAAAGTGCACCCCCTTCAGTTCACCGGCCATTGTTTTCCCTTTCCCGGGCAGACAAAGCGAAACAAATTGCCCAACTTTAGTTGTCGTTTCTGCTGCCGCTTTTCGCGCTTTAACACTTTTTTGAATGGGGCGCAGCAGCTGAGTGCTTTGGGTTTGTAAAATTGATGATGGACCCTGAGTTATTGCCTCGGCTTGGTGACGACAGCTGCTGCTGCCGTGGAAAAAAAAGAAGGGTGGGTGGGGGAGCTGAATGGCCACCCAGCAGCCAGAGGAATCCTCGGGAAATGATTTAAGAAAATACATTTTAATTACGGCGCTCGAAAAGCGATGAAAAGTGCCCGCAGTGGAGCGCAGAAGGGGCGAGGAAAAACAAAACGCGTTAATCAATAAATTGCCGCTCAGTGCAGCGAAGATAACCCACTCGAAATGCATCCAACGGTGCGTATGAAATTGAAAATCAAGCAACCCAGCGGCAGCGTCAGTAACCACCATCAGAATCGCATCGAAGTGGAGCTCCGGAGCCACAGAGACCACACGAATGGCGCCCCCATATGGAGAGGCGAACCCCTCCTTGCGAGGCAGTTGTGAGGGCAGTGCTTTGATTTATCACTCACTGGGTAGCTGGCAGTCGAGCCGATCTGTCTGCCCCTTTCGGCCAGGGCATCACTCACTTGCTTAGCAGCGGTTATTACACCGGGAGCTAAGTTTGTGTGTACAACTTCTTTTTATACTTGAAGAGGTCCCTTTGAATTTGATTTCCCTTTGATTTTGTCTTTAAATAGTTACTATGTGTGGCCCATTTTTGCCAGTGTATTAACTGCGGCTTTGATTGATGCCCCCACACATGCACTGGGAAAAGAGAGGAGAGACCCACACATGGCCACACCCAGAGACGCAGACGCCGGCCTTCGCGATCACCTTCGTCTTCGCCTTGGACTTGGACTTGGATTCGGATTCGGATTTGGGTGCGAAGTGTTGGTGCTGGTGGACTGGGCTGTGGTATCGGTTTTGGCCTTTGCCACGGTCATGGCCCGTTAATTGAAATATGTTTGGGCCACAGAGATCAAAGGGATCGAGAGTGGCGTTCGGGCTGATGATGATGATTATGATGATTTGATTAATTCGAATGGGAATGGCTCTTCAGGGGATGCAGTCGATGATGATGCAGTGATGATGGGCTCGATTCGGAACTAATTAAAACATTTAAAGTAAAGCACAGGCGAAACTCTGGGCCAGCACAACTTTTTCAGTGTGGCGGTGCGGGAAATACGTGGAAAATAGAACATTAAACAATCATAAAAATAAATACATTTCCCACACTGCTGTTGCTGGGCCAGCAAATAGCAACAACAAATAATAATAAAAACGAGAAGCAGTCGAGAAACTTTTGTTCAACATGGAAATGTCATTCGCATAACAACAAAAGACAACGAACCATGATGATAATGATGATGATGATGATGATGACAACCCACAACCAACAACGCAACGAAACAACGAAACAACGCACAAAGTTTCGATTCTCCACTCTTAACCCCTTGGTGCCCCAGTTTGCGGCAAAGTTGGTGGCACCTTTGTGGGACCTGCTGAGATAACAGGCAACAAAATGTTTGATGTACTTGAAAGTTAATGTTTTGTGGTGTCAACTTTGGCCGGGCTCCTCCATGGTTGGGTTTCTTTTGTTGGGTTGGGTTGGGTCTTGGTCTTGGTCTTGGTGTTGGTCTTGGTGTTGGCGTTGGTCTTTTGGTTGGGGTTTTGCAATGGAGAGCGGCTTTTAATGGCCGGGGATTTACTCTAATTTGGCTCGACAAAATTAGCCTTTATTTTTTGGCTCTTTGGCTAATCGCAAGTGATGAAGTTGCCGGAGCAAAGTTTGACCTTTCACACGCTCCCCAGATTGCCTGAAATTGGATGCCCCAGCCCGAAAACACACTTTTGCTTTCAGGGAATTACAACAAAATTAACAAGAGCATTCGTTATCAAAAGAACTTTTAGCCGCCTCATTTCGGGGCCTTCGAACCGAACTGAAAAATTGTTTTCCCACGCAAATTAACACTTGACTTTGTTTTCATACGATATTTGCACAAGATGACTTCATTTTCTTGGGCGCTTTTTCCAACCTCACTACTCCCCCTCCATCATCAAATACTTTATTATTGTTGACTTTCCTCCGCCCGACTTCTCACCTCCAAAAAACCCAAAGAAACACTGGAACACAGAAATGCGTGTCTCATCTGCGGCTGTTTTAGATAATGTACGTGTTTCACTTGTAGTGCGTCATTGTCTCGATTTTATGTGTGTTATTGGGTAATATTCACCGCTACGATTTTACAGTCCCCAACCATTGTGGATGAGCTGGCGGCTGACTCCACTCCAAGTTCGGGAATTCTTTTAATAAAGGCACATCAAGGGCCAAGTAAAGGCTTTACTAAGCTTGAAAGGTTACTGGCTTATCAAAACCCAATTGCAAGTGTCAAAGCAATATACCAAGTTTCCAAGAAGTTTCTTTCTTCAAGAGATAAACTAACTAATATCTAGATTAGGTACGTACTACGTACCCTAGAGGCCAACATTTGGACGACTTTGAAGCGGAAAACTTTTCAAGATCCCCCTTACCGAAAAGCAGCAAAAGATATAGAAAGTCGTTTTTCACCTCTCGTGTCCAGCAGTCGCCCTCGATAATCCGCATGTCCAGCTGGGCTTATTGCTGCTCTCCTGACAACCAGATGGACAAAGGACACACCATCCGCATCCACATCAATGTCCTTCCGTCCGTCCACACACTCGCAGGAAATGGGGCGAATCCAATGCTGAGGGCAAACTTTTGTCGGCGACTGTGTGCGAGCCCCAATCAGGGGAAAATGCTGGAAAAGCGACCTGCACTCGGACATTTCACTTGCAATTGCAGCGCAGCACTCGAGGAAAATAAATTCAAACTCCTTGAGCGCTGGGGCGGTGGACTCACCCAGAGCCCGGGATTCATGTGTATGCTGTGTCCAAGGACTCGGAGCTCCGGAGACAATAAACTTGCTGCCAGTGCAATTTCTCAGTTATTTGCTGGGGGCAAAGGGAGCAGGCATCGAGATATGATAGGAGTGGATGACACTCGTGTCAGCCATAAGCAGCCGGGATCAACTTTTCCGGGCTCTTCTGTTTGCCCGACTTGGAAAATGGGATTTGAAGGAGAGCCGGAGCTTCGCTGGGATTTGTGCAGCAAATTAGCTTCATTAATGGATGACTTATTTCCCGGTGGCGTTGGGGTTGAACGAACGAACTAGATTCTACTATTTTTGCATGCGATTCCTCGCAGCTGCAGTCGCTCAATCAGCGCTGAAATTTATTATTCTCCATAATCATTTGTCATCTTACCATTTTGCCAGTTTTCCGCTTTCCCATTTTCCCAGGCGCCCCCCGCCATCCATTTCCATTTGGCGCCCGCAGCGAGCGCATTAAAATTTTTCGCAACATATTTCACGCATATTCAGCATCCGGCATTCAGCGTTCAGTATTCAGTGCTCCGTGTTTCAGCACAAATGGAATGGCAACTGGAGCACGGGACACGCTCCATTTGACCAGCCACTGCGATGGGATCCCAGATCCAGTACGGGTCATAAATATCCGGAATATTGTTAAGAATATAACAATTCTCCGCTCGCAGCACTAATGTCATCTGCCATTTCTCTCTATCTGCCAGCGTTTTTCCCTTTTCCACGAAGCTCTTGATACATTTTTATTGCGTTTGAGTGGCGAGTCGCCTCCTTTTTATGGCTGTCCAAAGGGGTCAGCGCTGGTTCAATTTGGCGACGCCCTCTGCCGGAAATTTGGATGAACTACCAGTGGACAAAGGTGTATCTCCCCTATTAAGCACTCTCAATATAACTTATCCTGCCCTCTTCGATGCCAATTAGATAATTCAGGAAATGTCCTTAAGTTCAAGTCCTAGCAAACTTTCTTTTCCAACTCATGCGGAAGTTTAAAGACATCCTTGTTAGTTCCAAAAACCCATCCATTTTGTGAAGCAGACAAGGGGATTGGTTACTCCATTCGCCGCTCCTTAAATAATTCAATAAATTTGCGCAGAATTTTTCAACAATGAAAACAAATTTTTCCTTTTCCGCTGCTTGCATTCTTTGGCATCGCCGTAAGGGGAAAATCCATAATTCATGCATTCGCCAAATAAGAAAAGCGTCGGGTGGAGAAAAGGCGGAGCAATGAAAACATTAACAAGCACCAATAAAATATGAGGCAGTGAATGTAAATCGCTTTCCATAATTCATCGCATCGCATCGCGTTGACTTGACTACGGACTGGTTGTGCCGTAGATTTCCCTGGAAGCATCGTAAACCCATCGAAGGCTGGGCCACTCGTAAAACTAATGATATTTCAATTCGGATGACGCGACAAACGTCTTCTGAGCAGCCCCTGACCTGGGCAGCCTGGAAATTCCACGAAATTTTCGCGCACTCGCCACGCCAACGAAATTCATAAATTCCCTCGGACCGAAGAGTGCCTCCTTTCGATTTTCCCAGGACAATGTTGGACAACTTCCGCTGCAGGTCCGGTTCTTTTTTGTGGCCCCTCGCTGAAGCGGCAACGACAGGTGAATTTATGATGAAGTGAGTCGTCAGCATTATTCCTCTCACCTCCTCAGATTTATATGAATCCTCCTCGTTTCCTAGGCGAGTCGCGTGTGAATTATGAAAACCGGCGATAAAAACGAAAGTAATTCAAAATCTTCGACGTGTGCGAGGGTTTATCACCTGGGAAGGGAACGGCACTAGGAGCTGGAGACCTGGAGACCTGAAGACCCACACACCATCTATGTATATCGCACATCTCACCCCTCCGGCTCAGATTTATATCGCTGGATTTATGATCCTGTTAGCGCCACTGCACTTGCTTATCTCGTGTGCAGCATCGTGGATAGCAGGAGCATACCTTGTTTACGAGCTGCCGATGGAATGAGTAAATGGTATTGCCACTTTCTCCTTTCCCTCGCTTCCCTACCTGATTTGTGCCCCTTTGTTACAACAATCAATTGCAAGATTTTCGAAATCTGTAAAATATTGAAGTTTTAAAGCCCAGCGATGTTCACTCATGGCAAGGACAAAAGGACTTGTTTTAAGTGCAGCTATTATGGTCTGAATAATGTACTTTATTATTTAAAATCACTGTGACCTTAAAGCCCCCGATCCACCAAGAGCTTTACCAACTTTCTAATGGTAATTAAAGCCATTTTCCTGTGACACGATGAAGGCATATTAATTTGAGCGCACAGCAAACCGCAAATAAAAATGTCGCATTTAATTGGTGTTTGTGTTTGGTGTTCCTTTATGCATTTCGCTCAATTAAATTGCACTTGAACCTGTTACGAGTGGAAATGCCGCCGATGGTGGGCGGAAATGGCTGTGACACGCGAATCGGCGATCAAAAGTGCACTAACCCGTCCTTAAAACGCGGCCAGGACTCCCTCACCGAGCACATTAATTTGGTTTCGCCTGTCCGCCCGCCTTTAAAGTAGTAATTAGGAATACTATCACTGGGTGATGGGCGCACACACCTTCCATTTGAAAAGTGTTTGCTCATTGAGTGGGCGTGGTCAGTCGGTTGGGCAGCTGCAATTACGAGAAGGACCTCCTTTCTCGTTACCACACAGAATGAAAAGATTCACCGGCTTTTTGGGGCTTGTTGTACTGTGGCTTTTCTTTTGTTGGCGAAAGCTACGAGCCAGATATCATTCCTAAATAGGACAGTGGAACAACTAGCTTTGGTAACTAGATTTGTTAGTTAACTTCTGAGTTTACTTAACAACTCTTTTAAACATAATCATCATTTAAAATAGAGTCGGTTAAATGTATTTCATGAAGAATACTTTAAGCGACATCAAATGCTATGTTTTTCCATGGTTCCTGACCCAACGTACATTGGCTCCTCTATGCAAATTCCTGGTACCCGTTCTCGCTTTTCCGCTGTTTTTGTGGTTGCTTTGTTCTCACCTCACAGCTCGCACACATCTCATTGTTCCGTATCGGCGCTTTGTATCTTTAACAAAATTGCCAAACCACAGGAAAAGCTGGAAAATAGTCGAGGGGAAAAGCCAACCGCGTGTAATGTGAGAACCATCCGATGAGAGGGTCCTGATTAAGCTCAAAATCCAACCGCAAAGGGTTACGATTGAGGTAAATCCAAACTTCTTGCCCTGCTATTAAAGCAGAAATTCTCAATCGCTTAAATATTTGTGCAAGACGAAAGTGTTTGCCATTTGCATTTAGCGACCTATTTTCTTACAATTTTCCGCACAATTAGACAGAAGGGGGAAAATGCGAATCCCGCAGCATTCAGTTCCATTTCCTCCAGTCTTACACATGCAGTTGAGTTTGAAAGACAGAGATACATTTGTATCTGAAGCTTAAGTAGCTGCAAAGAAAGCTATTTAAATTGCCTGAAAGTGGGAACCAGACGTGTGGAAAACTTTTCGCCGAATTTTATATTTATCTGTCCTACTTCCGAAGAGGCGTCGATGGGGCGTGGCTAGGGTGAAGCCCCCTTCCAAAAATAGGCGTTTTCATCGAGCGGCAGTCGTCGTCGTCATCATCATAAAAAAAACAAGGCTATGGCAAAAGTTTTTCAATTTTTGCTCCAACTTTCCCAGGCCTTCCCAACTCACCGCCTCCCAGTCCTGAGTCCTTCCCTACGGTTGTGTAAACATTTGTAGTTTACTTTCAGTTCGCAGGCGGCTCGTAAAATCTGTCCGTTTCGAAAGTGTCTCGTAACTCAGACCCGCAGGTTAGCCCATCGCCCTTCGCCCAGAAAAACACGGAACTTTGGGTTTGTTTTGCCAGGAAGGACCACCGATTGAATTAGAAAATTATGCTGAAAGTTATTTGGATTAAAGAAGAAGGGTCCTTGACCATTGAGTAAGAGGAAATTAGGTAATGGGATAGAAAATTACTCAGACAGAATGGGGAAAAGCTGAGCTGGGGATTCGAGTGAATTTAGTAGGGGTTACAATAATAAGGAAGCACAATTTATACCTCAGCAAATTAAACGAAAACTTTGGGTCAGCTAATAAAAAAATAGCTATGCAAACTTATTGCGATTTGATGAAAAGTAGAAACGAATAATCTAGGGATACACAGAGTGGACAACAATTATTTTGAAGCAACTTTTTTCATTAGAAGAAAGAAAAAAAAAACAAAATGTAGTCCACACAAGTTTCCCATACCGGGAATTGAACCCGGGCCTTCCGGGTGAGAGCCGGATATCCTAACCACTAGACAATATGGGACTTGAGATTCGTCGCGGCAAAAATGTGTATATAAGCGTAGCGCTTCGTTGTGGCCGCAAAGTAAGATAAGCGTTCTTTTTATAGCTTTTGTTACTTATTCTTTGACTTCGATAACAAGATTGCATAGGTTTTTGAGTTTACAGAAAATGATTTACATAAGTTAACCAAAAACTTGTATTTATTGTCGAAAGTTTTCCACTGGACAAGAATACAAGTTATGGATGAATTGAAAAAAAAATATCTCCATACTAGCTTCCCATACCGGGAATTGAACCCGGGCCTTCCGGGTGAGAGCCGGATATCCTAACCACTAGACAATATGGGACTTGAAGTCGTGGCAGCCAACTATAATTCTTATAGTTTTATAAGAAATCATATCTAAATATTTTTTTGTTAGAAAAGTTTTCCGACTTAGTCCCTATATTTTCTAGTCACGCTGCTGGGGATAAATGTTATCAACGCTGCAGAAATCAGCGCCAGAATTTCCAGAAGAGGTCCTAAATATAAATTGAATATTAAAAATCTATTTTCAAGTCTACAGCTGCATATGTATGTATATGCATTAGGCTAATTTACCCAGGTTCCAAGAGCTCATCTTCGTATTCGGAACTACATAAAACACATTTATTATTGCTCTCTTGAAAGCACATTGTACAGTAGATACCCCTGCAGTTTGGCCAACCACAGGAAACATAATCAGATCTGTACAAGGCGATAATAATTAGGCTAAATTATTTAAAAGACTAATCGACTCACTTGTGCAGTGGTTTATTGCAAATAGTGCAGCATCTGCCAACGAAAGATACTGTACAACAATTGAGACACCTGAAAGGTGGATTTGGTTAAATCTATTCAAATATAAGGTTGGAAACATACCAGTTTAGACGAGAATTGAGCCACATAACGTATGATTCATATTGATGGGTATTCTCAAAGACGTTTAATAAACGTGCTTCCTGACATCTTGCTTTGAATACCTTTTCTACAAAACAGTTATCAATAAATGTAGTATTTTACTTGGATGTAGTTATATGAATATCTATCTCACTTCTTTCATTTAATATAGTATAGTGCAATTCGTGCGCTCTGCGCCTTGATTCCTCTGGATAAAAGTACATCATTATATGGTGTCTTTGGCGTAGGCCGTATGGCTCCCAAAAAACCATGAACCAAGCCAGCAAATATAGCAATAAGATCCACACATATCGAAGGTATTTTGGCTGCCCTGGAATCGGTAGACACCTTTGAGTACTCATTTTGAAAGTTCTTGGCTCAAATGCCAGGACCAGATCTCGTAGAATGTCGCCAGTTTTACCGCCGCCGGTAATAACAATCTTTTTATAGGCAAGAGCTGGAATGTAAAATTTTAATGTAAATACTAAGCTAAGACTTAACCTTACGTTTAACATCTTCAATCATATGTCCATGATAGGACATCAAAGTTAGTATACTATAAAGACTGTAGTCCACAAAGCAGATGCAGAAAAGTTGTATTCCTGTGATCCCCAAGAATAACACTGAGCGATAAATAGTATCAAATTCATTGGGCAGAAGTCGCATAGAGTTTATCTAAAGATCTATGTAATTAGCTGTATGTTAAGCTTAATTTAGACTTTACCTTCACATATGTGTTCTCTTCGAAATTGCTTAAGGGCAAGGCTCTTAAGCCCATATTCTGATAGTACTTGTCATCATAGTTTTCGAAAGCCTTTGTTATATAGACATTTTCATATTTTTCATTGGTCAAGTAGCGGAGCCAAAAGCTCAGTGATTGATGAATAATAGTGAGCAAGAGTATGAAGATAATCAAATCGATCCAAAAAAACACGAAATATAACTTGTGTCTCTGTGCCTCCAATCGCTCGTTTACATGCTGTTCGTTTATGTGGTCTTTGTTAGAGGTAAATTGAGCTGATGAATTAAATTTCAAGCTATGATCAAAACTAATGGTGGTTATAAAAATAAATCGGATTTTCATAGAGCATAACTGCAAGCCTATGATAAATTAATAGCTGTAATTAACTCAAAACAATCAAATATCATAACGCACGTTGAAATATTTCCTTGATGACCATCATTGACCATTGAAGATTACTATCGAAGAAACTTGTAAATGTCTTGAGACTTTCACAGAACCAATAAAAGAGTTCTTTTCCGCAGCACTCTTTATTTTTTTCTCCAAATTCACTCTTGCACTGTGCAATGCTCAAGTTACCCGCCTTTAAGCACCGATTGTATGGAGTATCCATCTTGTACTCATAGTGATCTTTCTGCAAGACTAACCAATCTGTGCAGGTCTTGTAAGTGGCATCTGTGGACGACAGGTTACCTTAAACAAGTTATGAAAACTATTCATTACAAACGTATTTGAGCTATGGGCCTCTCCAGATTTAGCAATAGCTTATCCAATTTATTCATGAGTCTGCACACTTGCGTCAAAGTTGTCTTGAATGCCTCCTCCACCGAACGAGAAGGATCATTTATAATTCGTTGCATAAGCTGTAGAGCCTGTATCAAAACATTCTGTCCACAGGTGAGAGTGTTCGCCAAAATGCAAATGTTGTGGAAGATATTTTTTACAGGTCCCGAAAGGGCCACCAAGAAAGCTAATGCAATAACCAATGTCCGAAATTGATTGCTTAATATGGTTGAAAGGCATAACAATGCAATGCATCTGTTAAACGAGTAATATAATAAAAAGCTTAAAATATTTTCCAAATCCAACACACCTTGCTGAACGTCGTCGAACCAATATTATAAATAGTAAGGAGACCAAAACGATAAAGATCCATTTTCCATTTAGGTCTTTGCAGGCCTCTTTGGGATTTCTATAATACCAAATTAGTACCATTAGTAGTCCAACAATATATCCTGCTATAACATAAAGCAATGAGGTGGATCGACATTCTGAAAGCGAGTTTTGGTATCGCTCTGCAGGGTCGTCTTCGGGCTCAGGGTCCTCGGGATCTCCCGGCGTGTTTAACGGATAGATAGGTGCTTCTCCTTCAGAGGTCGAGTCCCGGAATTTTCCAGACTCGATTTGGTCCAGATCAGAGTTGTAATGCTTTTTGTATAAGTTGATAAGACGTTTTCCAGCGAAACTCTCCGTCTCTTCCTCAGAGTTAACTATTGTATTCCTTCGTCTGTACATATAATCGGTTGAGTTACAACTGTCTTCCATAGTGAATTTCAAAGATTCTAGTTATTTTAAGAATAAAATAAGCGACAGATAACTCAGAGAAATTATATTTTGTATTACATTGTATTACAAGGAATGCACCCACATTTCCCATACCGGGAATTGAACCCGGGCCTTCCGGGTGAGAGCCGGATATCCTAACCACTAGACAATATGGGAGTTGACATCCCTGGATTCAGTGTTGACTAACGATTAGGATGGTTCGGTAAATTAACAAAATTCAATTTCGAGAGAATAGAGCTTTTTGCTCTTATAAACCTTTGGATCAACATACAGATCAATAAATAAATACATTTTTTTAAGTTTCTCAAAAGAAAGGAAACATTTCCACCATTTTCCCATACCGGGAATTGAACCCGGGCCTTCCGGGTGAGAGCCGGATATCCTAACCACTAGACAATATGGGATATGTCATCCTTGGATCCAGTGTTGGCTAGCGATTTGGATCGGTAATTTAACAGAAAAAAATTACAAAATGCAATTTTGAGAGTATAAAGCTATAAATGTTTGGGTCTACAAATAGATCATTAATTACATAAATTTTATTTTAAGTTTCTCAAAAGAAAATAAACATTTCCACCATTTTCCCATACCGGGAATTGAACCCGGGCCTTCCGGGTGAGAGCCGGATATCCTAACCACTAGACAATATGGGATGTGATAGGGGTCCGGCAGAATTCCCGTCGAATATATCTCGAAAACCTAGGGAATTCTTTCATCCTGGTTGCTGTTCTTGTTCATCAGAGTTGACCGATGTCGGCAATGATTACTAAATCAGCTTCTCGCAGAGCACCCACACAGCTCACTTCAGATTTACTGGGATGAGAGGTCAACTTCATATAACCTTTTTCGGAATTAATTAAAAGCCATTCAACACTCAGCGCTGGCAGTTGCATTCGCCGATGCCCACGACTCAACGGACTCCAGTGGCTGCGAATGAGGCACATAATCATCAATTATTCGCACAATTACCGCAAACAAATAAATATTCTTAATTTATTATGTTTTCGAATCGGGCTTGGCCGCCCACAATGGCAACAGGCGGCGAATGGCGAGTGCAGACGAAAAATCGCTACGAAAAAATATTAAAAATAAATTTCCAACCCGAAACAACGCAAACACACAAATTTCGGTGGAGCTGTGAGGGGCAATGGGCTGGTTTGTTGGATGGAAACTGCGGTATTGAGATTGATGTCCATAAATTAGTTCCTCGCCATTACGTCCCTCCTGTTCCATTGTATCTTTTTAGTCAGTCTGGCTGTCGTGCAATAAATTTCATAGATGCATTTGGTAATTTCAATTTGTTTTAATGTGTCGCCTCTATCCAATTCTATATATAAAGCACATATAGCACATATAATTTGAGGTTTATTGGCCGTGCCGTGGCTTTCTTTGCTATTTTCGTCTGGCCTCGTGGGATGTGGGATGATGTGGTATGTTCTGAGGCATCAGCCCCATCGCAGCAATTGTCGCTGCTTATCAGATTGCGATATAGGATATAGGATGTAGGATATGGTGTATGAGGGGATCGCAACGGCAGAGCTTTTGAAGTTGTCCAAGGGCGGAAATGTATTGAGTGCATTTCTTGAAAGATCCGTCGGGGCTCATCCGTGTGCACTGAGAAAAAACCTAAAGCGAAATGCATTTAAATAAATATTTACTTGCAAAGCTCGTATGAGCGTCATATCTTTTTCATATGAAAGTTTCCAGTTTCCCAAAGTACCGAACATTTGGCGCAACGTCTGCTGCTATTTTTTCCGAGTGTTGGTCCGATGGGATAGCCTTTAGGCTTAGCACTATAAATCAATTTCCGCCTTTAGCTTGTCGATGGTGCTGGGCAAACATTTCCTGAATTTCCACCCAGGGATTTTGGGAGCTTAAGCCCCGTGGCGCCATTGCACGCTGGAAGGGATTAGAGGAGCACGGGGCATTTCATCATAATTAATAAACTGTCGGCCTTAGCTGTGCTTGTATTTGTTGCTATCTGTGCGTGATGTGTCGTATGTATATATTTCCACATAAATTCGGGGCTTCCACATGTAGCAGCCGTAAAATAGCGTTATTTCGGTTCTGTCATCACCTGAACCCGGCGGTAATCGCCGTTTAGAGCTGGCTTCCTCTCCACTTGGGTGTCCCCGAAATTTGTCGCGCGATGAGGGAAATTTCGTTTGAATGGTTTCCGCAATGAAGCGACATAAGTGACAGCCATGCCGGAGTTATTGCTCTTGGACTTGCAGCGTTTTCGTGGAAATGCGGCCCATAAAGTGCGGGAAAATCATAGCCGCCAGAGCTGCAATGTTGCCCAATCTTTTCACGTTTCGAGAACTTCCTCCCAAATGCCCCAATTGGCCAGCAGGCCAGCTCGGACTTCATTTCTTTTCATTAGCCGCCCGCACTGCTGGCCATCTACGGTGCGACCAGGTCATAAAACGTAACTGGTTACTCCGCGTAACTCTTGGTACACAACTCACTTGATTACTTGGCCTGGTCGTGGCCTGGTCTTTTACTATGTAATATATGTGTTACTGGCACAGATGGACCGGCGTACAGACAGCGGCAGTTTATTAATGAAAAGCGCAAGAGTTCTTTCTATTTTTCCCAGCCCTTTTACGTGTGTGGCCTGCATCGAGGTCAGCCGGAGATTTGTTAACCGAAAGTGAGCGGTTTCTGCAACGGGCCAAATGAAATGGCCAAAAGACCGGACACGACCAGAGACGCGATTATAAGGAAAGTTCGTCTGCGAAAAGGTAGGCAATTAGAGAGAGTTTTTTTTATTTGCTACTAAACGAGGTTTTAGCTGCCGCAGAAGGGGAAAGCCGGCGATAAATGGATCGTTCCTTCTTCACATGGGGAAAGAATCTCAGAAGTTGCGGATTAGCATGTAGAATGATGTCACGTAGGCTTGTTCCTAGAGGAGTAGTGAAAGTGCGGTACAATGAAAAACAGATTTCCTAATGCAATTTCCCTTGCCTCAATGGTTATGCTTGCCGCAGATCAATGAAACATCCACAAATACTGAAGAAATCATAAAAAACTGAGGCAGTTGCAGAACTAGGGTTCTGCACTTGGTTGCAAGTGCAGCGCAACTAGGAACTGAAGTACGAAATACCCATTGCTAGGGATCGAAGAAGTGGATCCATTGAAGACACCCACCAGCGAGGAATTTGGTGCTGGCTTTTTGCCTTTGTTTGCTGGCATTTATTAAGTATTTTTTTCTTTCTTTAATTTTTTTTTTGCTGTATTCCCCGACTGACAAGTCGTTGGCATCGCTGGCGCATGTTAATTATGCCAGCGGACTACCTAGGCGTGCTCCACCGCGGATCGGAGTCCCCCTGCCGGCGTCCAAGATCCCAAGATGTGGGCCGTGGCCACGGCGAGAAGACCTTGACTCTGGCCAAGATCTTGATACGATTTATACAATTTTTGATTCATGGCGTCTCCGCTGTCGCGTTCGCTTGCTATCTTTGGCGACTTTGGCGAGAACCGAATTAATTTCGTAGGCAAGAGGCGTCTTGCCATATTTGCCGACGCGAGAATTTCGAGTTCGATATTTTGAATTCAATCAGCAATTTGCATAAATTTGCAGGCGCGCAAAAAGAAGCTGCTTAAGCCCCAAAAGGTGCGATTAGCCCCACGCCCACCCCAAAAATCCGCCCGAAAACTTAAGACGCCGTTATGGGCCGCTGACCCAAAGTGTGGCGGCTAATGGGACAGCCAAGTGACAAACTGGCCGAGAAGCATTCGCGAGTGTGGGCAGCTGATTGACTGACTGACTGATTGACGGACTGACTGACTGATTGACGCACTGAGTGATGGACTAAATAGGGCCCCCAGTTGAGTTGGCCCATCTAGTCTTAAGAGACCCAAAGCAGACCGGTCCAAACATTTGCAAATCGTTTCGGTTTTGGCTTTTGTCGCGCGGGCCACCAAAATAGATTGGCCAAATGGGGGAGGTGGGCAGATAGCATCTGTCCGAGATATCGTACGATTTTGTATATATAAAACGGGATTTATTTTTGGCTTAATGAGCTGAGCAGCTTGAGTGCTCTGCAAAAACATCAAATAATCGTACAATATAATTGCCTGATTTTGCACAATTTAAGCAAAGCCATTTAAGAGCGATTGCCAAATGCTAATTATTCATATTAAATCATAATAGTATGAAAAGTGTATTATCTGCATTAAATGTTGAAATGTATATTAACGGCTAACTTAATTTATGACTTGCATTTGTCAGCATATTATTGATAGTTTATAGGCAATCAGTGATCCAAAATCGTTTTCTACTCCGCACTTGCTCATCTGTAAATAGTTTGCGGCTATCTATGCAATTATCCTTGGTTTGAAGGCAGCATTGTCATATGGATCCTACCCCAAGTACCAGGGTATCCCCATAAATATCCGCTGCTTGTTGTGCCACCACTCTTTTCAGTTTCTATTTCGGGCTGATTCATTCTCGTCTGATTCTGATTCGGATTTGGATTCTCAATCTGAAACTGAATGTGATTCTCGTGCAGTGGGCTGATCGTCGCCTCGTCGTGGTGACTGCTAAATTTAAATGCCCAAACATCCATAACGACATTCATGCGGATCTGCACAGCCCGCGCCGATTTTCCCAACTCTCTGAATTTATTCGTATTAATTTCCCCGCATTAGTTTTTAATGCGTCGACGCTAGAATTAAAGCCATCGTAAAGCTGACAAATATTTTACGGCGAGTGGTAGTGTGAAAAAAGCGCGACAAATTAATGAATTTATGGGACACTTTAGGGGGTCTCACTCTCTCTGCATAATGGCCACCTGTCTGGACGGGTCTGGCCTGGTCGGGTGTACATAGTTGGCCAAATGTTTTCCCCCATGTTTCTGAATTTAAATCGTTTCGTGTGTCGCCAGGCGCCAATTGGTCACCCCATTCCACCCGTTTGGCGTGGGCGCTTTTCAATTCGTTTTCCGAAGCCAAATGAAACTTAAAGAGCTGTCGTA